AGCTTAGCATAGACCCCCTGCCCACATCCCATTTCTAAGACCAGGGGACTGAGGGCATGAGTCATTCTCCAGTCTCCATGTCGTACAACATCCTGGTGATCTGCCTTTGTTGGCAGCACCAGGGCTAGTGGCTTTAATAGAAGCTGGATCCCCCTCTCTGTCCGCAGCTCAGCAACCGGCTTTTTGAGGAACTTGCTATGGACGTGTATGATGAGGTGGACCGAAGAGAAAATGATGCTGGTGAGTGGGGGGCAGCCTGCTGGGAAGGGTTGTGACCCGGCCTGGACCTCTGCTCCATTACTGGGACTAAGAAGGGTTAGGTAGGGTTGGGCTGCATGGAAACCTACTGCTTCCTCCTCACCAGGCAGGCAGTGTGTGCCAAACTAGGCAGCCAGCTGCTTCCCTACCCCTCCCTGCACTGAGGCTCATCTCTATTCTGGCTGCCTCCCACTTTGGCTGCCTCCCCAGCCCTGCTCCGCCCTCCTTCATCACTCCTTCCTGGCCACAGCCAGATACCAGCCCAAACTCTGGTCTGGCCTGGCAGGACAGGCCTTGTTCTGCTTATCAGTCCCCAGTGGGCCTCACCCTCTCTTAGCTGGCTTCATGTGTGTGGAGACCACCTATGTCTGATACCAGCAAAGTGGGTGTAGGAGGGAGTTTGAAGGGCTATCTTCAGCTTTCCTTCCCCCCCCCCCCCAAACCCGTGACTGGATGATCTGCTCCCTGTCCCTCCCCCAGTGTGGCTGGCTACCCAAAACCACAGCACCCTGGTGACGGAGAGAAGTGCTGTGCCCTTCCTGCCAGTTAACCCTGAATACTCAGCCACACGGAATCAGGTGAGGTGACTGGGAAGGGGTTCTGGGTAGTTTCCTTTCTTTTCCGAGCCCTGTGGGATGTCTCCCTCAGGGTCTAGGTGGCATGGGGTTTTGGATTGGGAAGAGACCTTCTGAGCATTTGGGAAGTATTCCAGCTCCCTTGAGCCTGTTTGTTGGCCTGGCCTGGGGCAGCCATGCTGCTGACAGGGAATTTTTAGCTATGGCTGTGATTGAGTCAGACAGACAGAAGGGTGTTGCCTTGCTGTTTTGCTCTACCCTATAGGTCAGCAATAAAGGTCCTCTCATCCCTCATGTGGGCCTGGCATTTTCTGCTTTTCAGGGACGACAGAAGTTGGCCCGCTTTAATGCACGCGAGTTTGCCACCTTGATCATTGATATTCTCAGTGAGGCCAAACGGAGGCAACAGGGCAAGAGCCTGAGCAGCCCCACAGGTAGGGCATGTGCGGGTGTGGGCTTCCATGCTGCCCTTGCATGGGGCATGTAAATGGCTGGAGTGGCAGAGCAAGCCTGGGGTGACAGGCCTTGTATCCTCAGAGAACCTCGAGCTGTCTGCGCGGAACCAAAGTGACCTCGACGACCAGCACGACTACGACAGCGTGGCCTCTGATGAGGACACGGACCAGGAGCCCCCACGCAGTGCCAACGCCACTCGGAACAACCGTGCCCGGGTCTGAGCATCGTCCCTCCTTTGTCCCTCCTATACTTGCCTCTGGGCCTCAATCAAGGCCCAGCTCGGTGTCGCAGCCTAGAGTCTTGGGAACAGTAGGCTGGTCATAGCTTGGAGGGTGTCTGCCCCCTGCCCTTGTAGCTGATGGGCTTTGTCTCTGCAGAGCATGGATTCGTCGGATCTGTCTGATGGGGCCGTGACGCTGCAGGAGTACCTGGAGCTGAAGAAGGCCCTGGCTACCTCTGAGGCCAAAGTGCAGCAGCTCATGAAGGTCAACAGCAGCCTGAGTGATGAGCTCCGGAGGCTGCAGAGGGAGGTGTGGACTGTGGCCTAATGGGAGGGGTAGGAAGGCTTCTAGACACAGACTGGGATTTTCTTCCAAAAGATGGACCCCATTGTTAAGCACTGTCATGTGCACTCACAGATCCACAAACTGCAGGCCGAGAACCTGCAGCTCCGGCAACCATCAGGGCCAGTGCCTACACCCACATTGCCCAGTGACCGGGCTGAACACTCAGCCATGGGCACCAGTGGGAGCAGCCATCGCCGGGACCGCCAGGCCTTCTCTATGTATGAGCCAGGCTCTGCCCTAAAGCCCTTTGGGGGTGCACCAGGGGACGAGCTAAGCACGCGACTACAGCCTTTTCACAGCACTGTGAGTTGCCTGTAGGTCTTGGGTGGGGAAACGTGAATGGGGGCTACCACAATGCCTCCATGATACCAACTACGCTACCTCACCCCAGGAGCTAGAGGATGACGCCATGTATTCCGTGCATGTGCCTGCCAGCCTTTACCGGGTAAGCAGGGCCTGGGGAATGTGGATCCAAGCCTCTGTGGGCTTGAGACCAGGCTACAGTGACATGGGCCCTCCTGCAGGTAGGTTCGGCCTAGAGTAGAAACTGACGGTGACCTTGATCTGGCTTTCAGATTCGGAAGGGGGTGTCTGTGTCTGCCTCCGCCTCTGCCTCCGCCGTGCCCTTCACTCCCACCTCCCCGCTGCTGTCCTCCCAGGAAGGAAGCCGCCATATGGTAACATTTCCACACCACTGCCCCAGGATAGAGTTAGGGGAATGTGGGCTGTGCGGGGTCACCCTCCACCTTTTTTCATGCCCTCCAGAGCAAGCTTTCCCGCCATGGAAGTGGTGCCGACAGCGACTATGAGAACACACCTAGTGGGGACCCACTGCTTGGGTGAGACACTCAGTTCTCCACCCGCGTGGTGCCTTGCTGGCACCAGGAAGGGGAGTGATGGAGAGGGCTTGAGTGTCTATGGGCAAGCAGCCTATGGCTCTAATGGACCTCCCTTTTCCAAACCTGGGTTCAGGCTGGAAGGGAAGCGGTTCCTAGACCTGGGCAAGGAAGATGATATCCACCCTGAGCTGGAAAGCCTGGATGGAGACCTAGACCCTGGACTCCCCAGTACTGAAGATGTCATCCTGAAGACAGAGCAGGTCACCAAGAACATTCAGGAGCTGTTGCGGGCAGCCCAGGAGTTCAAACATGATAGGTAGGGGTGTGGGTTGCTTAATGCTCTTGGGGGAGAGTGAGGGGAATCCTTAATAGCCCCTCACCCATCCCTCCCCCTCTCCCACAGCTTTGTGCCCTGTTCAGAGAAGATCCATTTGGCTGTTACTGAGATGGCCTCTCTGTTCCCAAAGGTACTGGGGCTAGCCAGGAGAGGAAGGGGAGGAGCTTGGGTGGGGCAGCAGCTGGGAACCTGACTGCTGCCCAGGTGGAGACCCACGCCCATTGGGCCACCGTCAGGTGCTTGGCTTAAAGTCCAAGGCCCAGCCTCCCTTGTCTCTTTCTTTCAGAGGCCTGCCCTAGAACCAGTGCGCAGCTCACTGCGGCTACTCAATGCCAGCGCCTACCGGCTGCAAAGTGAATGCCGGAAGACAGTGCCCCCAGAGCCCGGGGCCCCTGTGGACTTCCAGCTGCTGACTCAGCAGGTGATCCAGTGCGCCTATGACATCGCCAAGGCTGCCAAGCAGCTGGTCACCATCACCACCCGAGAAAAGAAGCAGTGACCACTCTCCCTGCCCTTGCCCATCTCCTGTGACCTCATTGTCCATGGGAGCTGGGCCATTCCAAACACTAACCCACCCCAACAGAGCCACTGGCACAAGTGCCCTTAGTGCTGCCACTCTCCCCAGGCAGCCAAGTGCCCTGGTGCCCACCCCCTCAAGCATCCTTATGGATGAGGAGGTGGGGTGGCAGGTCTTCTGTCCCCCACATTCCATGCTCTTCCCTCCCCTGTACATAGCATCCTCTCCTTTCTGGTGTGCAGGGGCCTGCAAGGCACCTCCCACTAGCCCCTCAACCTGCCCTCAGGGCACCCTCAGCAAAGGGTCTGACAGGGACACTCCAAATGGGGCAGCTCCTACCTACACCCCACCCCCATGAGCCAGTTCAGCCCTATTGGGGGCTGAGCGGGGGCATCCCCATCCTTTGTATATAATCTCTTGGATGTCCTCGCCCTGTAGCCACCAGCCCCCTTGCTGCTCTCCTTTAATGCCAAACTGGCCCCTGCCTAGGGCAAAGACCCAACCTATGTGCTGGGGTCCCCAGCAGCAAACACTGGAAAACCTTTTCTTTCCTCTTCCTGACCCCTTAATTTTAACTTTGTGGTAACTGAGTGTCCCTGCGTGAGAGTGTGCGGGCGGCAGTGCCGTTCAGAGGGCTTGCCTGTGTGGAGCTTTGGGTGGCAAGGGGACCAGAGCAGTGGGACCAGCATTGGGGGGTCAGCCTTCCTCTCCTCAACTTGGAGCCAGGGACTGCCAAGGTCACCAGCTGTGAATCTGCTGCTGCTCCACTCATACCCCTGCTCTAAGAACTTAAAAGGAAAACCACTTCCCTCCATCTTTTCTCCCACCCTTGTGGGGGGAAGTGTGCTGGTCAGGTGGAGGACTGAGCACCTAAGCCTGGGGCTGGCTCCCCAGGGTTCCCAACTCAGCCAATGGCTGTGGAGCTGAAAGCCCCTCTCCCTAACTTTGGCAAGGCCAGCACCTACATCACTACCTGCACCTGTGTTGGTCCCACCCTCTGGAGGCCTGGGAACCTGGCTGCAGCCAGGAATGCTGGAGAGGCATCCACCAGCTCTCCCCATCTGCCTCCCCCAAGGGGCAAGGCCCTACCTGCGTGGTGACAGGTGGGCTGACAAGATATGTGTCATGTACATTTGTATCAAAAATAAATAAGTGACCATGGGTTGCTTCTGATACTTAGATTGAGGTGGGAGGGAAACAGATGGAAGACAAACCTGGAAAATCCTGGAACATAGAAGACCTGGTGCTAAGGAAGTCCCGGTGCTGGAAAAATCCTTTAGAAGATGAACTTATCAATAGGAATACTCGCACAATAGACACCACCACGCCCTACTGACACACCCCTGAAAGCCTGTTGACTTAAGCTAGAGCAGGTGGGCTGCCAGGGGCCCAAACCAACTATGAAAAATCACAAATACAGCCAGCGTGGCCTAGGGCTGGTTTCCTGAGGCAACGGGACTGTCGGATGCACAGGCTCAACTCCTAGCTCTACTAAAATAATTTAATTAGGGAATTGGGGCAAGGGAGGCTGAAAGGGCCCCTCTCCTAACCTACCCCCATCCCCCGGCCCCGGGAAGCCTTGGCAACGTGCAGGCAAAGTCCCTTCGCCTGCCGCCAGGGGGCTCCCGTGAGTGCGGCCCACGTGGCAGAGGTGGCGGCCGCTCAGAGGGAGGAGGAGCTGGGGCGCGGGGCCGGGCCGGGCCGGTCAGTCGGAGCTCTCCCCGTCCGGACCGCTGTCTGGCGCCGGCGGAAGCAGGGGTCTTCGACGAGAGCGCTTGACCCGGCGCGGGGCCATCAGCAGCCTCCGCTTCAGCACAGCTGTGGGCAGCAGGGTGCGGTCAAGGGCGGGGAAGCCCTGGGGCGTGGGCGAGTGGGCGAAGGGTGGGCGGGGGGCTTCTCACCGGCCACCGTGTCCTGGCTGTCTGCTGTGGGCCCCCAGTAGATACTGTCGCTCCGGCGGAAGTTTCGGTGTAGCCGCGTGCAGAGCGTGGCCAGGGTGAGCAGCACTAGCAGGAAGGTCAGGGCCATGGCGGCCCAAGCAGCCTCCTCCGTGCGTGGGGTGGGGCCCCGGGCTACCCGGGGTGGTGCTGCTGCCCGAGGGGCCATGGAAGCCTGACTTGGGCAGGCACAGCCCTGTGAGCTGCCTTGCCCCTTGGGTATCTGAGCCCCTGTCCTGGAGCTGGCATTTCCTCCAAGTCCTCCAGGCAGCAAGGGAACAGAGGGCATAGATGAGGCATTATCCTCCTCACCCAGGGTTCCCAAAACAGGCTGTTGGGCCTTTAAACTCCAAGAGGAAGCAGAAGGACCCCTCAGGCCTGAGGAAGTAGGCGGCTGGACTTCAAGGACAGCACGCAGGCCTCGTTTCTTGGCACCACTGGAAGATCTCCTGGAACCTCTAGATGCCACCTCTGCACCAGGAGGCCTCCAGCTCCGCAGAGCAAAGGCCAACGCTGGGGCCTAAAGGAAAAAGAGTTCACCCTTGCCCTGCTTAGATAACCCAGTGACCACAACACCAACCAGCCTGGGCCCAGCACACCCCCCTCGCCTGCACACACCCTCTCTGGCACAACCTCCCTCTGCTGGGGGTTGACACAAAGAAAGAGGGCCCAGAAAGACTGTCAGAATGAAACCATACTTTCTTCCTTTGTTTCCTCCACCGCCTCCTCTTCAGCCAGTGGGCAGCCCAGGCTGGCTCTACCCATGCCATCTCCAGTGCCATCCCCCATGCTGTCAGCACCAGGGGCTATGAAAGGAAATAGCTGTTAGAACTAAGATGAAGACAGAGCAAGAAAAAGCCCCTGAGTTTTCCCTTCTCTGCATGTGGGGCTGGACCCTCCTGCCAGTGCCAGACAACACACCTTTCCTCCACTACTCACCCGGTCCCTAATGAGATTGGAATCAGGGATGACTGTGGGGTTAGACACACAAATGTGAGCCAGAAGGACAAGCTGGAGCTTTAGCCAGGGGTGGGCACAGGGGTGGTAGAGAAAAGCGACGCCCTCAGCCTGAAGGAAAGGCACAGAGACATCAGGTTAGGCCCCTTCCAAAGAATCACATGTCTGTCTTGAGAAGCAGCATAAAGGGCTGCAAGATGGCTAGATGACCCTTCCAGGAAAAGGCACTGAGTATTGCATGCACTCCCTCTTGCCACTGATCTTCCAAAACAGCATGCCTGGGTAAAGCTGTCAGACTCACACTTAAGTATATTCCTTTAACCCTGTGATAATGGCTCTACAAGTCCCCAGGTCCAGGCTGTACTCATGCCCTTAAATGAAGATCAAGTCTATTTGTTGAATCAATCTGTATGATCATCTCCCAAGAGCATCTGAACATCTAGCACGCATGCAGCAGTCACACAATTTCAGAATGGAAAAACTTAACCAGTCATTATTCTTTGATCACATTGGCTGTGTGTTCAGCACTGTACTAGATGCTGTAGGAGATGCCAAAAGAGAACTCTTGGATTCTGCCTGCAAGGGATGTATAAGAAATGCAGGGAGACAACACAAGTGAAAGAGCAAACGGATAAATTCAAAAGTGGTCAGCTAATTTTAAGATAGGTTATAAGCACTAAAGGATTCAGAGGAGGGGGATGAAGGAAGGCTGACGAGACGAGGCAAGGTGGGGTGAAAGGATGGAGGTAGATGTCAAGAGGGCAGTGAACTGCAGGCTTTATGTCAGAATAGGTCAGGTGTGGAGAATAATAAGCAGACCAACAAGGTGACTGAAAGGAACGCAAGATCTGAAGAGATCAGATGAAACTAATTTAACTAAGGCCTGAGAAGCCAGGCAAGAGAGTATGTCCATGAAAAAGTAGGAAATAAGGAGCCACTGTTCCTGGTTCCAGAACAGTGAAATGAATTAATGACACTGGCAACAAAGATGGAGAGGGGACAAGCCATGCAAGCGAAAGCCAGTTTAGAGCCCAGTATCCTGAGACACCTTCTTAACAGAACAGAGCTTTATACCTTCAGTTAAGTACTTCCAGACTCAGTTAATTCACTCCTCCCAGGAAGAGGCAGGAATTAATACCCTCTCTTACACAAAACTGGAGTCCAGAAAGCCAAGAGACCACCAGTCACGCCGGAGCGTTGGCTGTGAGCCATTTACTCCTGCTACCCTGTTTGCTTGTCTACACAGCCAACACTCAATAACATTCCTGACACAGTGCACAGAATCGAGGCCTTCTGTCCTGGCTGGGGAACTGGAAAGCTTGCCTCGGTCTGCAGGAAGTGGACCTGAGGACCCAGAAAAGGTGGAGGAAGCTTGCAGGGAGGTCATGGTTTCCACGGGGGGTAAATACTTGGAGCTCATGAGGATGGGCCCTCGCTTGCACTTACCTGTCCTGGTCTCACCTGTGTGTAGGTCACTCTTGGTAACACCTACACATGGGGAAAGAAGAGAGCTTAAGAGAAGCTGGGAAAGTGGGTGGGTGGGTGGGTGGGTGGAGAAGACCAAAGGCCCCAAACCAGGATAGAGATGTGGGCCACTGAGGACTGGGGAACCAAGAGAGGTCTCCATAGGGTGCATCTAGGCCAGGATGAAACTGGGCTAGTACTTCACACCCGACTCCTCCACGGCCTTCCAGGGTACCTACCTGTGGGGGCAGAGGCCACAGACCTTCAGGACAACGGGCTCCTGCCTCCTCCACCGGCTCAGTCACTACCACCTGTGGATCCAAAGAGCAGAGCTGGGCATTGGCCTCCACAAGGGCCCGGCTGTCTTCCCCTCCGAGGCGCGGAATCATAAAGGCTCGGCTCCTCTCGGAGAGCCATTACTTCCAGGACGAACTTTTGGCAGAGCGCTTTGAGATCCCCTGAAGCCTTCCCCGTGAGCGGGTCCCGTTTACCTCTCTGGGACCCAGGAACCCCGCTAGGGCTGCCAGGAGAAGCAGATGGGCCGAAGGAAGAGGAGGAGGCACCATTTCAGTCCCGCCCGCCGTCCCGCCAGCTAGTGAGCGCGCCGCCCGCCTCGGCCCAAGCGCCCCCGCGCTGCTCGCGTGCCCACGTAGACCCCGGGCCCGCGCGCCGTGCTGCCCCCCCTCCTCCCCTGCGCGCGCCAGGCCCCGCCCCCGCCGCCCCTGGCCCCGCCCGTCCCCGGCAGCCGAGCGTGCGCGCACGCGTCCTAAACCCGAAGCCGGAAAACTTAAAGCGTTGGAACGCTGCTGGGTGGGCGCCGTCTCGGGGCAGGTGGAGACCACCGCCCCGCCCCGGGATTCCTCCCAGCGCATCCCCGCAGCCCGCCGAGCGCTGCTGCAGCGTCTGGGTTGGATCTTGGAGTGGGACAAAGGGCGGGAAGTGAAATCCCTGTGAGCCGGTGGCTTAGGCGGGGACTAGAGCGCTCTCCCCGCAAACCCACTTCACACCCGTCAGTGACTAGAAATGGACCAGAACCACCCAGTCCTCACTACCGAAGACCAAGTGTCACGGCTCCGCAGCGAGTTTGCCGTTCCCGCCGTGGTTCATAGGGCTCGAACCCGGAGGCACGCCTGGCATGGGGGTGTCGCTAGCTTCTACTCTCCGCTAACCCAGAAAGCCCGGAAGGCTGGAGCTGGCCCCGGGGCTGCTTTGTCCCCCACCTTCGTCCCCTTCCCGCCCTCATCCTTCGCCCAGCAGCGACCCGGGACACACTGGCCGCGGTGGGGTGCAGCGGGGCGCGGGCTCTGGTTACTTCTCCAGGAATTTGAGGAAAGACGGAAACGAGGGTGAATTGTGGGGGCAGAGATGCCCGGTCCTGAGCCTGTGGTTTCAGCCATCCCCCCACCCCACCCCTGACTTACAGGGCTTCCTCGCTCCCTCCCCACCCCTAGGGCAATGCCCGGTGCCGAGCTGATGAAGGACTTCCAGTTTACCCCTGCCACGATCCCCCTCGTCCAATCCTTCAACTTGCGCGGGTGTGGGGGAGGCGTGGGGCCGTTTCTTTTAGGGAAGCATTTCGTCCCGAGGAGTGGTAGTGAAGATTTCCTCTAAGTGAGGCTGAGCTTCTGGGGCGCCTCTCTTGGGGGTGATCTGGGTCGGAGGCGGGATCGACGGGACAGCAGCGCCCTGTTGTCCGCCAGGGAATCAGCAACTTCCTACCGCAAACTTGCGCCCAGGGTTTGACGGCTGTCCTCGTTGGCCGGGTGCGGCATCCCCCTCGCACCGCCGCGTTATTGCGCAGTTGTGGGTGCTGGCGGGGCCGAGCGCAGCATCGAGGTGGGAAGGGAGGGCGGCGAGCGGCCCTGGCCACAGTAACTAGCAACCCCGCGGGGGCCCGGGGGCGAGTGCCAGGAGCAGCGGCGCGTTATTCCCTTCTCGCCGTTGCCTCCGAGGACTCAGAGAAGCAGGGTCTCTCCCCTGCCAGGCACTGGGTGGAGGGCCGGGGAGTTAGGGGACTCTGATGCTCACCCTGGTCCCCACGTCTCAGTCTCTGGGTCTCACCACTTCTTTGCTAATAGTACCTCCTCTTGGTGACCCACTTGCTCGCGCCCTCTCGGCGGCCGCCTCGACTCCCTTCACCCTCCACTCCTGCTTGTCGCAATTGCTGTACAAAGGGCTGGGGGCGGGCGAGGGGAGCTCGGCCCGAACTGGCTGCCTCTACGGGGCCGCAGCCAATCCGCAGCGCGCGCGCCCGCCCGCCCGCGCGGGAGGGCTCTGGGCAGCCGCCGGCGACCGGGCGGAGCCGCGGGCAGAGCGCAGAGCTCGCCGAGGGGACAGCCCGGCCGCCCGCCGCCCGCCGGCCCGCCGCCTGCCGGGGGCTCTTGTGCCCCGCCATGCCTCCGTGGGGGGCCGCTCTCATTTTGCTCCTGGCGGCGCTCGCCCTGCTCGTCCTGCGGCTCAGGCGCCCCCGGAGCCGCGCCGTCGGAGCGAAGACCCTGCCCCAAACCCCGGGCCAGGATCACGAGGAGGAGGTGGACGGCCGAGGCCTGACGGATCAGTTCAGCGACGGGCAGGAGCCGCTGCCCGGAGGGTGTAGCCTCATCTGTAAGCCGTCGGCGCTGGCCCAGTGTCTGCTGCGCGCCCTGCGGCGCTCGGCGGCGCTGGAGCCCGGCCCGCGCTCCTGGTTCTCCGGTCCCCACCTGCAGACCCTCTGCCACTTCATCCTGCCCGTCGGGCCCGGGCCTGAGCTGGCCAGGGAGTACCTGCAGTTGGCGGACGATGGGCTGGTAGCCCTGGACTGGGTCGTAGGACCTTGCACCCGTGGCCGCCGGGTCACCAACTCCGGGGGGCTTCCGGCCGTGCTGCTCGTGATCCCCAATGCGTGGGGGCGCCTCACCCGCAACGTGCTGGGCCTCTGCCTGCTCGCCCTAGAGCGCGGGTACTACCCCGTCATCTTCCACCGCCGCGGCCACCACGGCTGCCCGCTCGTCAGCCCCCGACTGCAGGCTTTTGGGGACCCATCTGACCTCAAGGAGGCCGTCACTTACATCCGCTTCCGACACCCGGCGGCCCCGCTGTTCGCGGTGAGCGAGGGCTCGGGCTCTGCACTGCTGCTGTCCTACCTGGGCGAGTGTGGCTCCTCCAGCTACGTGACAGGAGCTGCCTGTATCTCGCCGGTGCTGCGCTGCCGAGAGTGGTTCGAGGCCGGCCTGCCCTGGGCCTATGAACGCGGCTTCCTGCTGCACCAGAAAATCGCCCTCAGCAGGTGGGTACCAGGCCGGAGACAGCAGGGAGGGGAAGGCAGGTCTTGAGCTGGCAGGGAAACAGCTTTGTCTGGTATGGCAACGAGTCCTTGTGAGCCAGTTTGGGCAAAGTTCTCGAACATTTCCAAAGCTGCTCAAAACCCATAGAAGCCAGGCAGCAGGATTCGAAGTCCTAGATGGCCTCAGCATCCCTGTGATACGGCTGGGGCCCCACAGATTCATCTCAGTCCCAGGTGTCCTAGCAACTTGAGCACTTAACCCTCTGGCCTGCCGCAGAAGCACACCTGACATTTACCACTTAGTCCATGGAGTGCCAGGTCAGCAAAGAGGCTTCTGGAAGCAATTGCAGCCCATTATCTGTCCAGAATGTTTACTTACAGTCTCAGAGCCAGGAGGTGACAGTAATCAGAACTGTGACTGCATTTATTAAAATTCTTTAGACTTGCCAGGGGGTGGGTGGCTCACACTTGTAATCCTAGCTACTCAGTAGGCTGAGATATGAGGATGGTGTTCAGAGCCAGCTGAGTGCAGAAAGGAGAGTCTATGAGAATGTAATTTCTCCAATTAACTACCAAAAAAGCCAGAAGCAGAGCTTAGGTTCAAGTGGTAGAGCACTAGCTTTGAGTAAGAAAGACAAAGCTTGGGGACAGCACCCGAGTTCAAGCTCCAGGATCACCGCGCGCGTGCGCGCGCACACACACACACACACACACACACGACAAAAGTTTTACATATTCCTAAGTATATGCTCAACATTTAAATAAAATTTAAATATTTAAACCTTTTTATTTTTAATCTAAAAGAAGAATAATTCACCACCAGGTGACAGGCAAGGTTTTACTACAGAGAAGGCCTGAGTGACAATGCTAGTCTTTCATAGATGGTAGAATGTAGTCCAAGGTATTATGGCAACAGTATGGTGTAGCAAAAAGACCTAGAACATGGAATCAGACCTGTTTGAGTTCAAATCCTGCTTGTATTTCCAGCAAGTCAGCAAACCCTTTTAAGATTCACTTCCTCCTTCAGATAAATGGAGTTAATAATAACCACCTCCACTTACGGGGTTACAATAATTAAATGAAAGAAATTAAAGCAAAGGCTTGCATTGACCACAAATGGTGGCAATTGCGATTCTCTTTTCTTGCCCCATTTTATCTGTGTTAAGAAGGTCAAACCCTGAACTGAACAACAGCTGGGAGTGCTGCCATGGTAACCCAAAGGGCTTGCGCAGTCCAGAGGAAAAGAGTGCTCATCCTACTTAATTGCCATAGTTTCCAACTCCAAAATGACCACCACCAGTGCTGACCTTGGGCACCAGCTGGGTAAAGTGATAGAAGTGGAGAAGAAACCTATGCCTTTAGGAACTGCCTTTCCCATGGAAGTCTGAGATAGAAAACTTGTAGCAAGCATCTTGTGGTGTTTTCAGGAGACATACCTAAATTCATCTTGCCAAGGCTAGATTAATCTACCCACAGGACTGGGCTGCCCATTCTGGCCTTAATAGGGTACTATGCTCTCTCCAGTTGGAAATAGCAGTTGTCCCCCTTCCCCAACAAAATACTCTATTTTGGGAACTATCCAGCAAATGAATTCCACTCCATATTCTCTATCCTTCTCCAGGAAAACCTGCCGCAGGTGCACCTGATCAAGGTCACATCAGGAGAGCATCATCAGGAAAGCATATAGAGCACACAAATAAAAACAACCAATGTGGTAAAAATGTGATTGTGGGAAGAGTGTCACTTGGTGGTTTGGATACTCTGAGCCAGGAGGTGACAGTTCTTAACAAGTTTTCTGGAGAGGGGTAGAAGTTGAGATTAGGAGGAGCACTGTCCTTGTAGTTGAGCAACTTGAAAATCAAATTTTGCCCATAGGCCTTTGTTGTCGGTGGTGGTGGTCATGGGGTTCTTCAGCTCAAAGCTAGTGCTCTACCACTTTGAGCCACAGCGCCACTTCCAGTTTCCTGGAGATAAGAGTCTCATGGACTCTCTTGCCAGGCTGGTTTTGAACTATGATCCTCACATATCAGCCTCCTCAGTAACTAGTATTACAGGTGTGAGCCACTGTTGCCTGGCTTTGATGGATATTTGGACACAGCAAGGAATGCTACCTTTTTAGCCAGATCTTCCCATTTCCCTAAAAAGGCCAAATCTTTGTTTTTTTGTTTTTTGTTGTTGTTTTTAAATCTGATTTTAACTGATGCCCACAAAATTTAAACTTTTGAAGATGCTATTTAGCCATGAAACCTCTATGGCCTGAACCTGGCTTAGAGGCTGCTCCCCTTCAACTCTTGCTGTCAACTGGTGCTCTGATTCTTCCCTCTCCTGCTTTCCCATTCAACTTGCTGCCAGGTATGCCACAGCCTTGGAGAATACAGTGGATACCAGCA